CAGAAGTCTACCCAAGTCTTCTGACACCAAAGTCCAGTCTCTCCCCTTGACCCTGGCTGATTGTCTCTCAAAGAGTGACATTGGATACTTCTGGCCACCAAGGCCACCCATCTTTATGGGAGCTTTTGTTCTCAATTGTGCAAAATTTTGTTACTTGTGATTCAGACCCCTGGGAAAACAAAAATGCAGCATCTAGGGTTCAATCATGCCAAAAGGCACTTTTCATTGCATCTCATCTTGGAGAAAGGAAACTATAAGTGGTGTATGTGCAGGCAGTAGCAGTTTCCATCACTTAGAAAAGTAACTGCACACCTCTCCTATGACCTCTCTCCCTAATAACTCTTGCCAATGTGGACAGCCAGTGAACAAAAACCAACCCAACCACTATCAAGTGGGAATAAAGTGTTCATTTTATTCAGGTGCTCACAATGAACCAGTCTCCAGTATCATTTAATCCTGAATACTTAAGGGTGAGAATCGTATTCTAGATATTCTTAATATGAATTAAAGATGTTTGGCCGGGTTCTTCACAAAGGTAACCTGAGTGAAAGCTGCTAACATGTGCCTCCTTCCCACTGTCAAGATGCAGGAGAGGCGTCCCTACATCTTCTGGGCATGATAAAAGGGGAGACAGGCTCTGGGTGCCATCCCTTCTCCGGGCACCCTCACTTGTGGGCACGGTCCCCCAACATGCTCTATGGGCCCCAGGGGTGGCTTCAGGCTGGAGCAATGTGCCCAAAGCCAGGCTCCTTGATGCTGGGGATGTCGTTCTTCCTGTAGAAGTCAGCCTTCACGTGGTTGGCACGGCGGTAGTCCCGGTTCAGGGGCTCAAGCGGCTGGTTGACGCGCTTCCCATAGACAGAGGACGTCAGCACTCCGACGGGCCTTTCCTGTTCCTGGTAAGTATTATCACAACTCTCGGTCAGCACCAGTGTCCTTTATCAGCACAGCTGGCCCGTCACCAGCCTGGGTCCCACCACAGTGGGCCAAGCGGGTACCTGCACTCAGCCTCCACCCAGGCTCCTTATGGCTCTGCCACGCTGAAGCCTCAGGGACTCTCAAACTATGACCCTGTTCCATCTGCTCAGCACCCTCCACGTCCTCAAGTCACTCAGAGGAAAAGGCAAGTCCTTAGCCTGGGCGCCAGGAACCTCTGACTTCAGATTCCTGTTCTCCCTCCGTCCCCTCCTGGCTCTCCTGCCAGCCCTCCTACCCTCCCCGGCCTCTTTCTTTTCCCAAACACATGGAGCAATGCTTTCCAGCTGCTGGACCTTTGCTCTGCCTGGTTGCTCCTCAGGTCACATCACCCAAGTCTCCACTCAGATGCCACAGTCTTCACTGACACCCCCCACCTTCCTCATCCCCTTCCATAGCTTTCTATTTCTGCATCCATTATTTCTTTGCCTTTCTCTCTCTTCTCGTGGGCATGATGGCCCTGAAAGAACAAGGGCTTTAGTCCTGTTCCCGTTTTGTTCAGTAGAACTTGGAAGGCGCTCAAAAAATATGAGTGGATGTAAGTAACGTGAGCCGCACTCTTCTCGTGAGAAACGCACTGACTTCACTACTGATTCGCAATGCATTAACATGCAC